CCAAGGACAGCCTGGTCTACATAGTGAGTTCCAGGACATCCAAGACATACTGAGTCTCTGAGTCCAATTTTAAATAAATAAATAAATAAATAAATAAATAAATAAATAAATAAAACAACTTTTAAGGTAGTGATTTAGACAGGGCGTATAAATTGCTTGGGATTCTGGGGAATATCACTTCTTGGCCTGCATCTGGCTACACAGATGTCTGCACCATATGAATAAATAGTAAGACTATCTACACGTTGTGTGCTTTCCTCTTTTTTAATTTTAAATTTGTTTCTAGTCAACACAGCTGCCACACTCAGCTGGGACTCAGATCAGAGCACTATGTGCAGCCCTCATAGGAGAAGCTTCTGGCAGTCTATGGAAATTCACACAGAGACCCACAACTGAAGAGTATGCAGAGAGTGAGAGTCTTTGGCACACTCAACCCTAAATGGGATGTTGTTATCAAACCTCACCCCTCAAGGTTCAGGGATCTATGCATAAGGAAAGCCAGAAAAACTGTAAAAGTCAGAGACTCCAAGGAATCAGCCTCTCCCAGACACAACAGAACTGATGCACATAAGAACTCACAGAGACTGTGACAGCATGCACGAGACCTGCATAGGCTCAAGTCAAATGAGGTCCCAGAAGGGAAAATGGATACATCTTAGTTAGGGGTTTATTGCTGTGAAGAGACACCATGACCACAGCAAGCCCTAAAAAAGAAAGCATTTAATTGGGGCTGGCTTACAGATTCAGAGGTTTAGTCCGTTATCATCATTGGTGGGAAGCATGGCAGCATCCAGGCAGACATGATGTTTCAGAAATAGCTGAGAGTTCTGCATCTGAATCAGCAGGCAGCAGGAAGGAAGGTACACTGGGCTTGGCTTGAGCATTTGAAACCTCAAAGCCCCCCTGCAGTGACACATCTTTCTCCAACAAGGCCACAGCTCCTTATAGTGCCACTCTCTGTGAACCTATAGGGGCCATTTTCATTCAAACCACCACAGACACAAAGTCTCATTTCTAACCAAAAAGCTATTTAAAGATAGATGCCTTTCGAGAAAGGAGAAATTAATGTTCTTCAATGAAGTGTCACTGGATATATCAACCACAGTCCAGTGCAGGCCCAATGCCCAAGAATATATGACCCCAAGGCCCCAAAAAACTGGATCCCATTTTTTTGTGTAATTTTTGTTCTGTTTTAGGTTTTGCTTTGTCTGATTTTCTTGGTTTTAGTATGCCTGCTGTGATTTTCATTTTTGCTGCTGTCTTTCTTTTTTTCTTTTAGAGAGAAAGAGATGATAAGTTGAGTGAGGAGTAGGTGAGGAAGTGGGGCAACCTGGGAGGAGTTGTGGGAGGGGAAAGAGTATGCTCAAAATATGTTATATGAAAAATTAATAATTTTTAAAGGTGTATTTGTTTATACATATGAGTACTCTATTTGTATGTCTACATGACAAAGAGGGCATTAAATCCCATTGTAGAAGGTTGTGAGCCACCATGTGGTTGCTGGGAATTGAACTCAGGACCTCTGAAAGAGCAGCAAGTGCTCTTTACTGCTGAGCCATCTCTCCAGCCCCAATATATTTTTAAAGAAAAAACACTTTTAGTCTTCTAAGGTGCTGGGAACTGAACAGAGGCAGTCATTCATGCTCTCTGCACAGGTGAGGACGAGCATGGGTTGGCTCCATGGAGACCGGGTGGATGTTCACAGAGGTAAGAGGCCATGCATACACTATTCTCTGGCAGGTATTCTTCTATAAAACAACAACAAAAATGTGGTGCTAGATTAAATGTGTCTTATGCATTTGTTTGTCAGTCTGGTGGAAGTGTAAACTTGTACATCCAGTAAGGAAATCAGTATGAAAATTCCTCAGAAAGTCGGGAATCAATTGATCCCAAAATCCAGCTATAATGCTCTTGGGCGTACTCCCAAAGGATGCTTCATCCTAACACAAGGATGCTTGCTCAATCATGTTCATTGCTGCTTTATTCATAATAGTCAGAAACTGGAAACAATCTAGATGCCCCTCAACAGAAGAAGGGACTTAAAAATAAATGGTACATTTACACAATAGAGTATTACTCAGTTGTTAAAAACATTGACATCGCCGGGCAGTGGCAGTGCACACCTTTAATCCCAGCACTTGGGAGGCAGAGACAGGTGGATTTCTTGAGTTCGAGGCCAGCCTGGTCTACAGAGTGAGTTCCAGAACAGCCAGGACTACACAGAGAAACCCTGTCTCAAAAAACAAACAAAAACAAAAAATAAAAAAAATTTGACATCATGAAATTTATAGGCAGATGGATGGAACTAGAAAAAAAAATCATCCGGAGTGAGATAACCCAGACCCAGAAAGATGAATGTGGTGTGTATTCACTTATATGTGGGTATTAGCCATTAAATAACTGATAACCAAGCTACAATCCATAGACCCAGAGAGGTTAGGTATAAAGGAAGGGACTGGGTTGGGGGGACACATGGATGTTCCTGGGAGTGGGAAATAGAATGGATTCATATTATAGGTAGAGTGGGTTACAGTGGATCAGGTGAAGTTGGGAGAGGGGATAGGGTTGGGGGAGGAAATGCAGGGAGAGACAGCTAGAATACTACTTGGTGACCAGAACCAAACACTAGATAGCCCAGAAATTTAGGGTAAAACCAAATACTACTGGTTCAAAACAATTAACAGTAAGAAGACTCCTTATGACAATCTTCTATTCTTATAGATGAATGGCTTGTTCAGCCGTCATCAGAGAAGCTTTCTCCTGATGCAGATGCAAACAAATACAGAGACCCACCCACAGCCAGACATGACATAGAGAATGAGACCTTGGAATTCACAGCTCTAAATGTGATGTCTCCATCCAATCTCTCTCCTGAGAGCTCAGGGAACCCCACAGAAGAGGAGACAGAAAAACTGTTAAGGGCCAAGGCGTTGGAAGACATCAGGAGAACATGGTCCTCTATATCAACTAAAAGGACATATGAGCTCAGAGAGACTAAAGCAGCAAGCATGGGGCTGACATGGGTCTGTTCCAGGTCCTTTGAATATATATTATAGCATTCATGGGACTCCTGAGTGTGTGAACATGTGAGACTCTGATCCCTGTGCTTTCTCCTGACGACTTTTTCCTTCTATTGGGTTGCCTGGCCCCAACTTCCATGTGACAGTTTGGGCTTATCTTATTCTCTTTTTCTTTGTCATTTTTGACTGTTGTCTCTTAGAAGCTTTTCTTTTCCAATGAGAGACAGAAAAGGGTGGGTCTGGAGGGAGGAAGTGAGCAGGAACTGGCTACAGGAAACTGTAATTAGGATAGATTTTTAAAAATAAATAAAAGAAAAGCCACTAGCAGCACAGAGTAAAAACATAAAGTATGTTTCCTTACAACTTCCCTGCAGGGAGCTTCAGTGTATGAATAATGGCTCCTACCAAGTTCTCTGTAATCAGACATATATGTTACATAGTGTTCTTCTCATAGAGTTTCTCAAGCACTCAGAATAATAAAAATCAATTTCCAGTCAGTCCCACTAAGTCGGTTAGACAAACTAACAGCTGTCCTGTCTACTCAATATGTAGACCAGGCTATCCTAGAACTCACAGAGATCATCCTACCTCTGCCACAGGTACTGGGATAAAAGGGGCTGGACCTAGGCCTCTCCGCTCATATGTAACAAATATGCAGCCTGACCTTCATGTGGGTCCTGAACAACTGGAGCAGAGGCTAGCCCAAAAGCTGTTGCATGGACATGGGGTATGTTTTTGTAGCTGGGCTGCCTTGTCTAGCCTCAGTGGGAAAGGAAGCACCTAGTCTCTCAGAGACTTGAAATGCCAGGGTGGCTGGGGAGGAGTGGGGTGGAGGGGGGGTACCCATCCAGAAGAGAAGGGGGGAGGGGTAAAGGTTGTTGGTGGGGGTGATTGGGAGGGAGCGGTGAGCAGGATGTAAAGTGAATAAGTTAAAAAAAGAAATTTAGGGGGCTGGAGAGATGGCTCAGTGGTTAAGAGCACTGACTGCTCTTCCAGAGGTCCTGAGTTCAATTCCCAGCACCCACATGGTGGCTCACAACCATCTGTAATGGGATCCGAAGCCCTCTTCTGGTGTGTCTGAAGACAGGGACTATGTACTCACATACATGAAACAAATAAATAAATCTTAAAAAAAAAAAAAGAAATTTAATTTTTTTTTTAAAAGGAGTATGCCGCCAAGCTCAGAGATCAACTAGGATTTAACTGTAACTGTTGATTGTTGACACCTCTGTGGCCTCCTCATTTGGATAGAATAAATCATCTTTCAGAAAGCATCAGAGACAGTCGATAAGAAACGAGGTGTCTGCTACTGATGCTATGGTGTGCTTACAGACAGGAGCCTAGCATGGCATCCTCTGAGAGGCTCTACCAACACCTGACTGAGAAAGACACATACTGACACCCAACCATTGGACTGAAGTTGGGGACCTCTATAGAGGAATTGGGGGAAGGACTGAAGAAGCTGAAGGGGAGGGTGACTCTGTAGTAAGACCAACAGTCTCAACTAACCCGGACCCTTGGGAGTCCCCAGAGACTGGGCCACCACCCAGACAGCATACATGGGCTGGTCTGAGGCCTCCGTATATAGCAGAGATCTGGCCTCTGTGGAAGAAGATGCTAATCCCTGAGAGACTTAATGCCCCAGGGAAGGAGGATGCCCAGATGGGGTGGAGAACACCCTCTAGGAGGCAAGGAGGAGAAGAAATGGGATGAGGAACTGTGGGAGGGGGGACTAGGAGGGGGACTACAGCTGGAATGTAAATAAATAAAATAATTAATTAAAAAAAAAAGGGAACGAGGTGTCTTAGGTTACTCCGTCTCACATATACAAAGGACGAACTATCAGAACCGAAGGGGGCTCTGGATTTTCCTGATAACAGATAGCATTAGAAACAGACATTTTACCAAGATATGTTCAAAGAGCACTTTGGTTCAGATATTAAACAGTATTAAAAGTAGAATGTACCAACTTAGGCCCCATGATAATCCAAAGAGTTTATTAAATAACAAATGGTAAGATTATAAAAGGCATTTCCAGAATGTTCACAAGGGTTCCCAAAGCTATGTTTTCTATAAACATTTATGCAGCCCCAAACATGAAACTGTTGGGAAGGTTCCTTCATTCCATGAGTTGGCAGAGTCTAATTTTTCCCCCTCTCTGCACGGACCACTCCAGAGAGAAATGTCAGTCCTCAAGAAAGAAGTCACCTTAGCTTTATGAAGAATCAGGGGTCTGTGTACACTTAAGAGTTATGAGGGTGCCTCTCATGAAGAAGCCGTTTAGAAGGCTGATGTGGAGTGTGCTTTTTTTTTTTTTTACAGATGTAAAAGAAGCTCAGAAGTGTAGTTCAGAAGTCCCTCTCACACCTGTACAAAGACTACTAGCAGAATATTTTGCATTGAAATCAGTGTGACAAGCCTGTGACCTTTGCTCCGTTGCCAAGAGTCAACAACCCTATTGGAGATATTTCCCATCAGAGACGCCCATGATTTCACCTTGTGACAATTTTGCAAGATGACTCTGTGGACTGGCATTCCACTTAAGGTCACCAAGCTTCTGCGATCTCTGTGAGAACCTGGAGCAGCTCAGCAAATGTCGGACGACCTTTAGGGTTCTGGAAAACAGAAAGAGAGCCGGTCAGCTCAGCTTGCTTCTTACTCTGACAGCAGCCGTGGAACTTACAGAGACTTCAGCTCATGCTGGTTCTGCACAAACTGAAGAAGAGCATGCCTTGGCTGACACACAGTGGCATGATTTACATGTGAGGTAGGCATGGGTGAGCGTGGACCAGTATAGAGTAACTGTGCAGATAAAACGGCCAGTGTTGTACACGGTACTTACCAGTGGCTATGTAAATACATGTTAGAGGAGTAAGTATTTCAACTCGGTTCTTCAATCACACTAGCCGCTTTTCACATCTAGTATATGGACAGAGCATGCGTACAATATTTCTACCTGGAGAGAAATTTCTTCTGGAAACTGACAAGGATTCAGACAGAGTGTGAAGTCCCCAATTCCACATCCGCATTGGTTTACTCTACTGGCCCCCCTCTAGCAGGAAGAAACCCCAAAAGGCAAAAGGCACATCTCCGAGTCTCCTTCGGGGACTCTGTAGATCCTGGACCACAGTCAACCAAACCTTTGACCTCGGAAGCAGAGATCAGAGCACCTTTCCCTGTTTTACTGCGCAATGTGCTTTGGCTCTGTCTGCCTGGGGGGAAGACATGGCACTGCTGGCCTCTTCGGAACCCGCAGCAGTGAGAGCTACTCACTGCAATGGAATGAGGGCGGGGGCAGGTAGAAAACAGTGTGAGCGCATCCTGACACTTGATGAGCATCCAGGAAGAAGTCATAGGGCCTTTCAGGAAGGCTCAGGCTCAGCAGGTAAAATCTCTGCCATGTTTATCAATGGTAACACAATCTTTAAAAAAAAGAATAGTAAATTCATGTTATTCCAATTATCTCACAGTCAAAACCAGCCAGTTTAAGGAAGCCATTCAAACAAATATTTATCTAGTCCCAAACTATATATGTCAGTGAACGTCTATACAATTAGATTGGCCATCCTCAAGCCTCGGGACTTCACTTAGGCTATTAGACTTCCACAATTAATTACATTTTATTCACTCACCCTCTACAAATAAATAAATAAATAAATAAATAAATAAATAAATAAATAGATAGATAGCTATGTCAGAGTTGGAACTAGAAAAAAAAGGAGCTTTGTATTTCAGTGTGTGTGTGTGTGTGTGTGTGTGTGCATTGTTCGAGTAAATTTTCCGACTGCAATTTGAGACTGTTTCCTTGTTCCTTCTGTGATCTTCCTGTTCACCCTTCCTCCTCTCTAGCTCATAAATATATAAGATCACAATGTCCTGTGCACATGTGTGTGCTTATTAGTGCTCCTTGATTTAGGACACAGTCATCTCCTAACAAACCCATTCTGCTTTTACAATGTCATACGCTAAAGATGCATTGTATGCAAGTACTCTACTAGAAACTGCAGCTTAGCGACATCTGCAGTGAGCATGTGTTCAATCTCGTGATTTCTGGCTGCCCAGAATTCGGGCTCCTTCCCAGCATCCCAGTAGAGGCTCCTACTTTATACTACTCACCCAGGAAAAGATCAACATTTGATGCTCTTGAAATGTAGCATTATAAAGTTGAAAAATTCTAAGTCAAAACCATCACAGCCACCATCCGCCTGACCTAAGCTGTTTACACTGTGATGGGAAAGGCATCCCCCCTGTTGCTGCTAACAGCTTACTTGACAGTTCTCAGGTCATGATTCTTTGTAGAACAGCTAATCGTGACGATTTGCATATACTGGGATCTTCCTAAATAAAACACTTCTCTGGAATATGAACAGTCCCATCACTCTTGAAACACTGGTGTTCCCCGTGTTTGTGGTTTGGGAATCAAATGATGCACGTGAGTTTGTTTGTGTTTCAGGCAGCAGGAGACCCACCACCACCTCCACCACCACCACCACCACCACCACCACCACCACCACCACCACCAAGCTGTGATTTTTCTGGGCTAAGCCTGCTAACTACCAAGCAGAGTTCTCAAAAATCACAGTCTGATGAGAACAAGAGGGCTGTTGAATAGATGGCCAGAAAAGGAGACAGGGGGAGGGGGGATGAGGAGGGCATAGAACCCACCCCTCCGGCTTCATTTTTAATCTTGGCATTTCAACAAAAAGAGCAGCTCCTAAGTGATGGTTTCCCAAGTGGTGGCTCCCAGCATAGTCTGCCTTTTGTTTCTATTCTGGTTTAATCTCTCTATCAGGAGTCTTACATGCCAGGGGGAGATGAAGCCCTTGAATGTGGAGGTGAACAGAAGCGAAGCTCAGTGAATGAAACAGCATCCTCTGTAAGGAAGTTCAACAAACCAGATTCTGTTCTTAGTTCTGTCACTCGGTTCTACAGGATAATAAATCATCTAATTAAGAGGCGTGAGAAACATCCAGTCTCTGCAAGAACCAATCTCAGACAGACAAGACTTGGAAAGGCTTGAGCTCCCAGATGAAAGTCCATTGTGAAAAACGAAATGGACTTGAGACTGGGGTTGAGAGACATCATAAGAGAAATGATGTACTGACTCTCAGGGCATGACCAGGAAACAGGCAGTTTTGGCTGCCATGGTACAGTCTCGGTAATAAGAGACACCTACCTCATGCCAGCAACTGTACATGACTCTGTATATGGTCATGGGGGCCAGGTAAGGACGATACAGCCGGAAACCTTGAGAAATGGCTTCTATTACTTGCAAATTTGACTTATTTTCAAAAGGCATTTTTCCTTCTGCAAAAACTTCCCACATTAAAACTCCTGCAAATGAAACATGCAAAAACAAGAGTCACTTGGAACCAAAACCATGGTTTCATTCAAATTGCAAGATGTTAATCTACTCCAGCCCTTGAAAGCCAAGGTGCAAGGATCCCAAGAAACCAAGGTGCAAATCCCATAAGCCTTAAAACTATAAGGTGAAGGGTGTGGGCTATTTTTCCTAATCCAGATGTTAAGTTCAAATTGTCAAGCTGGAAAAGAGATGAGCTTCTGCATAACTAAACAAGAGAGTTTAGTAAACACACTGGAAACTCAGTGGTGACACAGGTCCTTTCCTCCAGGCCTCTGCGATATGGGAGTTTTGGCTGTGTTTGCCTTCCCTGTAGCCATCTTGTTACAGCTTCACGGCAAGCACTTGCTGCGGAAGGAAAAGACCCAGAGAGCGGAGCTGTGCGGGGAGGTGCGTGACTCCAGTGGCTAAAGAAGTTACAGGAAGACTTATAAAGAGTGCTACATCCTATCAAAAAACAAAGAAGCAAGAGTTGAAAAGAGAAGGCTGCCTTCTAGCGACAGCAAACGTACTCACCAAACGACCAGACGTCAGACTTGCTACTGTACTTGTTGAAATGAAAAACTTCAGGTGGGCACCACTTGACTGGGAACTTAGCTCCAGAAGAACTGATATACTCGTCGTCCAAAACGTACCTGCCACCAGAGGATTCGAGCACACTGTGTTAAGGGCCTCCAAGGCCTAATTACTTTAAACACCTTCGTCAGCTCCAATCTGCTAAAACACTGGTTTCCTCTAGAAAGGGCTTATGCATCCTGTCTTCTTGATGGCAGACAGTGAAATAGCTCTTTGTTTCCCCCTCTAGAACCAGGCCTCCTCGATTTCACTGGGTCTCTGAAAACTACAGTTCTACAGTTCCAACACTGAGCAAGTACTTATATTCTTTAGAGTCCAGTCTCAATTCTGCAAAGAAACTGCCCTGTGCTCTAACAGTAAAGGTAAAACGGACAAGGTAGTCAATGATACATGAAAAGCCACGTACATCATAAAACATGGATCCAAAATGGGTGGCACATTTTCTCTCATTTACTTACATGTTGTGGCACCAAAAAGGGGGAAATAACAGTATGTCCTTATAATACTTCTGATATGAAAAAAATCCAGTATATTATAATGTACATTTTACACAGATTAGGAATAACTTTTCTTAAGACTCATACGCAGGAATATGAAGCACATGGGAAAAGAGACAGCTGACTTTGATCTCTTGAATATGCAATAATGTTTTTAAGTTATTTATTATTGCTGTCTGCAAGCTTCCACTTTTCCCCACATATTCTATCGCATTTCCCCTTTAACCCCTCCTCTGTAAAGACTAAGTGAGGTTGAAGAGATGGCCCAGTGGTTAAGAACTCTGGCTGCTCTACCAGAGGACCCAGGTTCTATTCCCAGCACCCACAAGGTGGCTCACAACTATCTGTAACTCCAGTTCCAGGTAATCTGATGCCCTCTTCTGGTCTCTGCAGGCACTGCATGCATGTGGTACACAGACATGCATTCAGGTGAGACTCCTACATACAGAAAATAAAAATAAAGTCTGAAGAAAAAAAAATCTTTTAAAGACTATAAAGCTGGGTATACTGGTGGACACCTTTAATTTCAGCACTTGTGAGGCAGAAACAGGGTGGTTTCTGTGAGTTCTTGACCAGTCTGGTCTACATAGAGTTCCAGGACAGCCAGGGCTACATAAAGAGACCCTGTTTCAAAAGGAAAGACTGTATAAGAGGAAACAGAGGAGGGGGGTTGCTTTGTAACTGATTTACAGAGTCTTTAGATTAGACTTTAGAGGAAAAAAAACTAGATCTATTAAGAAGATGCTTGGGGGTGGGGTGGGGGAACAGGCCTCCAAGTGAGAAAGTTCTTGTCCCCACAGGAGGTTGGTGGGGCTAAAGAGCAACACAGAACTGGTGTCCTCTACCTAAGTAAAGCCTCAGGAAAGGCAGAAAGATTCTGGAAAACAAATGGGTCTTGACATGCCTCAGTAAACCAGACCTTCGTCAGCCCCATGGAACTTTCTGGAGGAATCTTCTATGTAGACATTCAACAGCCACCTGTGCAAACAGCCAGGCAGAGTGAAAGTGCGAAGACTATGGCTGCACAGATCTTGGTGTGCACATTACAACAGGACCAGGAAGGTCACCTCCATGACAGTACCATCCCCCCATGAGACTCTTAAAACCTGGACTGCTGAAGAATGCAGGAAAAAATATCTGGAATTCACTAGGGTTAAATTTCTGGAGTTCTAAAAAAAAAAAAGGAGAGCTCAAAATGTTTTTTAAAAAAATTCTTGTACATATATGTGGTTAGGTTTATCCCAGTGATAACTAAAACCAGCTTCCAAACATGGTTATACAGTGTCTGATGGTGACCTAATCAAATACACATTTCACTTTCAAAAATTTCATTCATCATGAAAAATGCATTTACTTGATCACACTTATTTGAATGGACTGAGAAATTCTTGTTTCCATTTTAAGATCTCCCATAGTTGTATCAACAACAACCTGAAAGAGGACGGCAAGAACAGGCCACAGCAAACATCCCCCGCAGGTAGAGCTAGCACCCGTCCTGAAATCCAAAGCAGTCTGAGCTATGCAATCATGTGAACACTTAGCCCACACGGATACCTTCCTCACAGAGACACTTTCCTCAGAGCAGGAAAAAAAAAGGGGGTGATAGCAACTTCAGTTTGCAAGAATGAACGTGGAAGACTTGGTTAGCGAAATGGCTTTGAGGGAAAAGGTGCTTAATACAAAGAATTGGTAGGGTACCAGGGAAGAACTGAGTCTCACAAATTGTACCTGTACATGTGCTCACACTCGCGCACACACTAAATGTTTTGTTTTGTTTGTTTGTTTGTTTGTTTGTTTGTTTTTGAAAGCACAAGACTCCCTCTTACGAGTGGGCAAAGTAGAAAGACAGAGATGTCACATACCTCGTCATCCCAAAGTCCGAGATCTTCACTATACAGGCAGAACTGACCAAACAGTTCCTGGCAGCCTGTAGAAAGAAGAGAAACATCAGTCATGGGTCCTTCTTCCAGAAGTCTCTACTTTCATTTTCCTTAGTTTCTTTACATTACCTGTCTGCATGAGTAGCCATGTGAATTTTGTGGTGACGTCTATTAGTGATATATATATATATATATATAGCTTTATTTGTATGCCACGAACTTTAATGATTATTCAATGTCACAAAACACTGGACCACCAAAAAGGCAGCGTACACCAGCTGATATGAGGCCCCCAACACATATACAGCAGAGGACTGCTGCGTCTGTGTTCAATCAGGGATGATACACCTAACCCTCAGTAAACTGGAAGCCCCAGGGAGTTTAGAAGTCAGGTGGGGTGGGGGATAGAGGGTAGACACAGCCTCGTGGAGACAGGGTTGGAGGTATGGGGAATAGTTGAAGGGTGGAACAGGGAGGGGGATAAAATCTGGAGTGCAAAATAAATAAATAAATAAATAAATAATAATAAAGAAATAAAAAAAAGTTAAAATTGAATGGTAACAATTTTTAAAATTTAATCTTTTCCAACAAGTATCCTTATAAATATGAAGATTAGTTTAATAAATGATAAGCTAAGTACTTGGCATAAAACATCTTAACATTCTTTTATTTAAGTGATAAAAGTCTGACATATATGACAGATGAGACAGTTATGTTGTATATTCGGGCTCTCCGTTGGGTAATAAGAATTAAGAAATTATATATTAAAACCTTTCAGTGAGTAGAGCGATTCCTAGTAATAATTTTATATTTCTTTTCAAAATTTATTTCTATTTTATGTTTATGGGTGTTTTGCCTGTGCAGGTCAAAAATAAGGTGTTGGGTCCTCTGGAACTGGATAGTTCTAAGCTGCCATGTGGCTGCGGGGAATCAAACCCAGGTCCTCTGGAAGAGTAGCAACTACCCTTAACCACCAAGCCACCTCTCCTGACCCCTCTACTTCATTTTTATCACAATGAACTAAATATAATGCCAAGTCAGTCTGGCTGCAGTCAGAATAACTCATTTTCAGCATACTTCATAGAGGAAGTCCTCATCTTGGTCAGTCTCATGTAGATGAACTATTTGGTAGACCTGTTCTCCTGTCAGTGAATTTGAGCTTTAAAGCGTCCAGTCACAATAGCAACAAGCTTTAAAACAGTGATCCAGAAGAGCCAGTTTGGAAGGTACCAGAAAGTGCCAGCAGCTATCTCAAATACAAACCATAAGAAAAGTCCCCAACAGGAAAAGCACCCATTATGGGCTGATGTGTTTCATATACAGTGCAGTAGATAAAGCAGAATATGAAGAAACTTATCAGTGGAGAGTAGGGGTTAATCCAAGGGCAGGAGAATTGGTCTGAAGCCACCTGGAGCGGACAGGATGCTAGGGACCGTGGATCCACTGAGTTTTGATTCTATTCCTTATCAGGGAAAGAAACCTTCATGGCCAGGGAAGGGAGTGAAGTGGATGGGAAACTGTGCCCATCCACGGAGAGCTGCGTCAATAGCTCTGGGGAATGTGCACTAAACAGTGATCACCGTCAATGGTGGCACCAGTACTGCAGAGAGCCCTTGTGGGACAGCCACTGCTTTGGGCACTTGCACACACTAATTGATGCAGTCCTCTCAACAGGCCCACAAGGAGGAGGTCATCTATGGAAAACCACTTTCCGACTTAACTGGGTCTTTCAGGGCCATGGAGCTAGTAAGCAAAGAAAGGAAGACTCCAAGCCAGGCTGCGGCGGGCTACAAGCTGGACTGCATATTGATGCCACCCTTTCATTTCCAGACACTCTGACTTAACTGGTGCGGTTATGATCTGGGTTTTGAAACTTTTACACAAAGTTCCCAGGCGATGCTCACACACAGCAAAGTTGAAGTTTGAGAACCTTTCCTCTACAAGTCATGCTCTTTTTAAAAAAAAAAAAAAATGGATATTTTCTTTATTTACATTTCAAATGTTATCCCTTTCCCCAGTCCCCCAGAATCTGCCTATCCATCCACCCTACCTCCCCCTGCTTCTATGAAGGTGCTCCCCCACCCACCCACTCCTGCCTTCCCACCCTGGCATTCCCCTACACTGGGGAATCAAGCCTTTACAGGACCAAGGGCCTCTCCTCCCACTGATGCCCAACAATGCCATCCTCTGCTTCATATGCAGCTGGAGCCATAAGTCCCTCCATGTGTACTTTTTGGTTGTTGGTTTAGTCCCTGGGAGCTCTGGGGATTCTGGTTGGTTGATATTGTTGTTCTTCCTACAGGGTTGCAAACCCCTTCAGCTCCTTCAGTCCTTTCTCTAACTCCTCCATTGGGGACCATTGTGGGGACTGTGCTCAGTCCAATGGTTATTTTTTAAAGGATTATTTATTTTATGTATGTGAGTACATTGCAGCTATTTTCAGACACATCGGAAGTGGGCATCAGATCCCATTACAGATGGTTGTAAGCCACCATGTGGTTTCTGGGAATTGAACTCAGAACCTCTGCAAGAGCAGTCAGCGCTCTTAACCACTGAGCCATCTTTCCAGCCCTACAATTCATGTTCTTAACACTGTTATTATCATTCATGAGTATAGGTTTTGATCTTCTAGTAACTGAAGATGCACTCATAAGAATCCCAGCAATATGCCTGCCCAAATGTAGGGTGAACAAGGATGACACCAATGGACTTGCTGAAGTGGATGGAGGAATGCCCGTGAAGCCTCAGCCCTGCAAACATAAAGAACTGTGAGCAACTGAGGAATGCTGGGAGAGGTGGTCTTTCCCAGGGAAAAGCACACTAATAGGTTATTCATGCCAAAGGGTCAGCCACACACACACACACACACACACACACACACACATACACACCTAACATACTGTTGTATAACTTTCCATCCTAAAGGAAGTTCCTTAAACAGAAAGGTAAACAACTCAAAATAGCTTCAGGAAGTCCCTGAAACTGACCAGGTTCACTAGGTCCATCCCTGCCAGAGTAAGCAATAAAAGCTGAGAGTCCTTCTCAGTTAAAGCTGAATTATAAAGAAGGCCCTTGAGATCACACCAGATGTGTGGAAGAAGCAGAAACCAGCTGAGCCCCTGGAAGAAGTTTAGATCAACTGAGGCACCTGGAAAGGACACTCTCCACCCTGCTGAGCTGCCTGCAGGCTGTGCAGTGTGCTCCCGGTTCCCAGCTTTATGAGCTCTAACTCATGCTGGGGTGGGCCTTGGTGATGCAGCCATCTTTGAGTTATTTCTACTCAAAAGTATAAGTAGCCCATATCCCTGTAAGTAACCCCCCCCCAAAAAACCTCATTGGTTCACCGTATTGGACTTTGGTTATACCCATACTTTGGTGCATCATGGATTCCCTATCTGGGGTGAGTAGACATGTGTGTAGCATCTCCATAGGAAAAGTTTTGACACACGCCAATTATATGGACTGAGCAGGTTACATCTTTGAATGTGTGTGCACATACATACACATGTATACAGCAATAGCCATTAATGGAAAAGGAGGCCATGAATTTGAAGGAGAGCAGGGGTAGTATATGGGAAGCTTTGGAGAGAGGAAGGGGAAGAGAGAAATGGAATTATATTATCTCAAAAGGTTTTTTTTTAAACCGTACAAAGAAATCTAAGTAATTAGCTAGCGTGTGAAACTAAGTTAATAAAGCCATGAGTGTTCTGAATTAAAGGCAAGATAAGTCCATTTCCCACGGTGTTCTGGAAGCAGTGTAACTACACCTCCAGCCTCACCCCGGGATCCTCCAGTCTCAAGGATGAGTGCTGTAACGTGATCACTCTGGGAAATGTGAGCCCCAAAGCAAGATGCTATTTGTAAGAGACCGCATCGGGGATTTGTATAGACTTCTCAAGTTTTCCCTTGAGTTTAACAGTGTGAGTCCCTTGAAGCAATGCGCAGTGATCTGGATGTGTTCCTCAGGATGCAGCAGCAAGGACACAGAGAGGGACAACTGGCAATCAGTCCGGGGTAAGAGAGCCCTTTTAAGTAGGCATGTTCTGAACATTATCCAGCAGAACCACTGGGCATTTTTAGTCGCCATTGTGAATATCAACAATATTCCTGCAGTATTGTCACAAACCACCTCCACACAGGGCAACTTCACCCTGAGTAAGATTTACAGGGACTGTTCCTTCCCAGCTAGCTGTACCTCCAACTCCCAGATCGCTCGGCATACATGAAACACTGTGACAAGTGTGACAGGTAAAAGGTAAAAGGTCTGAGCTCATTTCCGGGTTTGAAAACCATGGAAACCTCACCAATCCCTGCCTGAGCTCAAAATCCCACCAATCCCTTGTCTTGCCCCAAACTCAGGACTTAAAATCCCCCCAATTCCCAATCCTGGTAATCATCACTCTAGGAAACTCCGCCCCCAAGAAACCCCATATAAAGCCTGCCTCTTGCTCAGCTCCCTGCGGCTTCTCGCCTCCTGCTTCTAGTATCTTTCCCAATACATCGCTTGGGTGAGGTTTGTTGCGCCGTGTGATTTTTATGGCATTCCTTGGCTCCAAACTGCTAGGCTACCTTTCCCCCTCAGAGCCATAATACTTACATTGAGTATGGAATTTGACATTGGTCAAAAGAAAGAAAAAAAACAAGGAAAAGAAATAAGGGAATGAGGAAGAGAAGAGAGGAAAGATCGTTGTAGTTATTTGGCTCATTAGGTAGTTAATTAGTGAAAGATATTTTAGAGTAATTTCCAACGTGGTTACAACGTTAACGGCCAATTAAAACTAAAGTTTCAGGGTTGGAAGATGTAAGTCAGGGATAGCACGCAGGCTTAACAGATGCAGGGCCTTGGCTTTAACCCCCTGCATTTCAAAACAGATAAGAAAATTAATTAACCTTTCACAATAAGATGCATGAAGTAAAAAAAATGTTCTAAGGCCAAAGGCACATTCTTCAAAGTACTAAAAACGATCCCCATGCAGGTGGGTACAGGAAGGGATTAGCCTCCGACTCACCAGATCCCTGTGAATATAGCAGCTTGCTTCCAAGTACGCCATCCCCTCACAGACGTCCTGGCACATACTCAAGAGCAGCGCCTTCTGGAGCTTGCCTCTTCTCTCCCTGAGATAGTCAAGCAGGCAGCCATTTTCCATGAACTCCGTCACTATGTAGAGGGGCTTCTGCTGTATACACACGCCATAAAGTTGAACTAACCTCGAATGTGACAGTTTCCTGTTGAAGAAAGAAACATACCCGTGAACTGGATTGCTCTTGAATTTAATATGTATTTTGTTTTATGTGTATAGGTGTTTTTGTCTGCACATATGTCTGAGTACCGTGTGCCAGCAACAGCACAGAGGCCAGGAGAGGGCTTCTGATATGTTGAACTGTAGTTAGAAATAGTTGTTAACCACCAAATGGGTACTGGGATTCAACCTGGGTATTCTGCAAGAGCAACTCATACCCGTAACACCTGAGCAATCTATCCGGCCCCAATACTTTTTGGAAACCCAGGCTTCACACCCCCCTACACACACACCAAATATATCATTCAATGTCTAAACACCTTTTAGGCCACCATGAAAAAAAACTTCAAATTAATGTTTTATAATTTTAAAAGATGTATCATAAGCAGTTCTGTTGGTCAGAAATGCTGTGAAGAATACCTTAGAAATGCTCTTTTTATCAATCATAAAGATAAAATGAGAGGGAAAGAGAGGTAGAGACAGAGAGACTGACAGAGAGAGGAAGAAAGTGTATATTCGACAGACTTCGATTTATCCTTCAAGTCCATAAGCACGCTTCCAGGTAAGGAATGCAGTTTGCGTGTGTACAGAAAGATGTCAGGACAGCACATCTCAGAATGAAACATTTCAAACCATAAGAAATCCAAGACTATATAACTTCATGGAAGTATTTGAGAACTGTAACATTACACAGCATTCACTTACTAGGGCAACTGTTAAAATGTGTCTGAGATAAGACAGATGTCTATTGGAAGTAAGGCAAAGGCAGGTAAATAAACCCTCATATGTGATTCAGTTGAACAAATAGGACAAAAACTTCACACTGGTGGAGGAGCCTGTGAGCAGAAATGTGTGTTCCTGTTCCTGTCATGTTGCTTTCTCTACACATGTCCCTGGTTAGAGACATGTCACGACTCACTGTAGGACAATTGGTAGATTTCTTCTTTTCTTATTGGATATTTTGTTTATTTACATTTCAAATATTATCCCCTCTCCCAGTTTCCCCTCCGCAAACCCCCTAACCCAACCCCTTACCCCCTGCTTCTATGAGGGTGCTCACCCACCCACCCACCCTCTCCCACCTCCCCACCCTGGCATTCCCCTACACTGGGGCATCAAGCCTTCACAGGACCAAGGGCCTCTTCTCTCATGGATACCAGATAATTTAATTCTTTTAAAGTATTTTCAAAAGTTTTTTTTTCATTCTTTGTGTAAGGTTCCTGAGCACCCATGTCTTCCCTTGGAAGAGCATCCTGAGACATGGGAGGCGAGGACATCTCCTGATATCCTTTACTAACTCTTCTCTTCCCTCGGTAACAGAATCAAGTTTCATGGTTCTCAGTATCATCTTTGGGGACCATTCTCCAATGCATGCCCTCCGTCCTGACCTCTTTCCTGAACTCTAGCCTCATGCATTTACCTGACTACCACTTAGTCATCTTTAATCTTCTAATAGGCTTCTCCAATTCAACAACAGCACACTCACACATGCACGTACGCATCCACGCACACATCCACACACGCACCCACTCAGGCACCCACACACGCACCTGGAGCTCCTTACACAACTTTTAGCTAGCTACAGTAGAGAAAATCCTCTTCCTAGCAATTACTGTTTTGGTGACCCTGTGGAGGGGCTTGTGACTCTTATAAATTCCTGGACTCCTGAATCATGTTAAGTTTTATCAGCTTCGAAAGTCTTATGAGCATCGGGGAACATTCCAGTCCCAAGGAAATAGCTTTACTGGCTAGAAATGTAAATACATTTGTCCTGCAGTGAGTCATGACATGTCTCTAACCAAGGACCGATATGTGTGTAAAGAAAGTAAAATGGCAGGGAGCAGGAACACACATTTCTACACACACGCATCTCTGCCTGTAGGAAGTTTTTCTCCTAGTCACACAACTGTTCATCCTCAGAAAGTCTGACTTCCTGAGTTCCCAACCAGGGTTGTCTCATTCAAGAAGCCCCTCATCTCCTCATGTTCAGAAAAGACTGTGAGACGGTTTGAACCTAGAGCTGTCCGTCTCCCATTTGTTCTTTTCAGATGGTGTTTAATCCAGTCACACTACTACTCTTCTGTCCTTGGGTTACAGAACTCCCTGATCAGAGAGCACAGATCAGCGACGGGTGTTCCAGGTACGGTGTGACGATGACAACTATAACAACACAACAGCAACATCCCTGGGAAGCTGATGTCCCCGGACAACTGTGTTTACTGTAATTCCATTTCATTCTCTTGTAATTGGGTAGTAGAAAGGATGTTTTGATAGGACACTTGGGGTGAGAGCTTAAAAAACACTCAAAGTCATAGTTGCTCTGTCTCCGTGGAGACGGGTTCTAGCTCATCACTCGGGTGACTATCTAGTCTCTGTTCATTTTGCCTCCCTTCAGGGCAGAGCTACATACTCTGCACAACAGAACAGTTGAGGTGAGGATGCCTGGTTTTGTTCTGCTTTGATGCACTGCTGAGGAGAATGTTGATTTGAGCCTTCCTGGTCCGAGGTCAGATTATAGTAACAAGCCACAACCAAAATATTGGTTTGTGTGAGGACAAAACAAAACACCAGGAAACTAACTAGGATTTATTCAGCACCTACCAATGAGCTGAACATAATATACTTTCCTTGTCTTTCTCATTGACTATTTCATTAACTCACGCCTAGATCCAATGCCAGAAGTACCATTATTCCCAATTTTATAGGCGAGGACCCTGGAGACTTGAGGGTGACGTAGTTCATGTGTGTCACACAACGGTTAAGTCATTTGCCTAGGTTACATAAAGGGCTTGGGGAGAGTTGTGACCCAGGTGCAGGTGTGTCTGATTCCAAAGTCCAGGTTCTGTCTGAGAGTCCAGGGGGCGGGACCATGTATACATGGGGCGGGGCTTTGTACTCACATCATCACCTTGGCTTCCTCAATGAAATCTTCTTCAGACATGGAACCTTCATTGATGGCCTTGATGGCGACCCGGATATGTGCTCTCCACTCTCCTAAGTGGACTACCCCAAACTGACCACTTCCGATCTCTTTGACAAAAGCCAGTTCTGACGGATCTATCTCCCATTTTTCTAGAAAAGCAAATGACTCATGTTAAAAAATGAATAAGGGATGGAGAGAGAGAGAGAGACAGAGAGAGACAGAGAGAGACAGACAGAGACAGACAGAGACAGAGACAGAGAGACAGAGAAAGAGAGGATTTCAGAATTATTTAGTCCTGTCTCCTTGTTTTACATAGATGCTAAAGATATACAGGTAAGGATCTGTAACTTAATATACAATCCAAGACATAAAGGGTTAAAAGATTTCCCTGCTTGGAAACAGGAGTATGTAACACTGAGACTATCAAAACATTATATTAAACATACCCGTGTACTTCTTTAAACAAAGCTAGTCGTGGGACCTAAAACATGGATGTTCCCAACCTGGCTTTGTTAGAGTGCTAAGGTTAGGGTACTTCCTCTTCCTGGGGTACTTCCTCTTCCTGTTTCAGTTCCTCCTACCATTCTCATTCCACTGCTAAACACCTTTCCTGTCTTGCATAGCCTCTCCTTAGGGATGGGTCTAGTCATGTACTACATAATCATATACATGTCCACTGCCAGACTGTTAACCAACATACATCTAAACATGTGTTTGAGGTAAAATTTGTGTAATTGTATATTTCTCATTTCTCATAAGCATGCCAGGAAGGGAGGAAAAAAAGAATTGTTTTTAAAATAATACCCTTGAAACTATGAAAGTTTAACGTCTTAGCACCTACTTTTTCTACAACAACACCGCCATCTGCTGGAACTTTAGGATAATGCACATAGCAGCATTAGCTTTAGCCCCTAGTATCAGTGTTGGAAAGTAAACCCCAACCCAGGAACGAAATGCTATTGTAAAGGTGACAGAAGGAACAGATTTATGACCTTGACAGTGGCACAGAATTTCTTAACCAAATATTATCACAGAGGAAAATATTAATAAATAACAACTCATAATTTTGTCTGCTCATCTGCAGCGATGACTCTGTGGTTAAGAGCACTTGCCGCTCCTGCAGAAGACCAGAGCTCGGTCTCCAGCACCCACGTGCTGGCCCAAAACCATCCTTAGCTCCATTTCTAGGTAACCCAGCTCCCTCCCTCTTCTGGCTTCTGCAAGCATCAAGCATGCATGAAGAACTGTTACACACATGTAGACAAAACACTCGTACACATAAAGTAAAGATGAATCTTTAAAAGAAAGTGTAAAGAATAAAACAGTCAGAAAAAAAAGCATAGAATCTAACTTTAAGAATGATGAGAATTTGATCATAAAAGGGAATATCTAAATGACCGCTACACCTATTCGTTCTGTTTGAACAAAAGTGAAGTGGAACTGTTCAGCGGCTCTTTTTTGGTAGGCTCTCATGGAAAACAATCATTTCCCAGCAACCCTTGCAACCAGAAAACAACAGCCTCACATCCAGAGAATAGTAGCTATTTATCAAAAATGGGAGGATGGCGGGTCCTCACACAGCAGGGTGAAATGCGAAGCTAAAACGAAACATTGTTACTGACTACAAATTGTCCTGGGAGATGGATTATTTAAACCTCTCCAGCAAGAGATTGACATTTTTAAAGGAAACACATGCAGATAGCCATTTCAAAGGAACTGAGAATTTGAAGAATCTTTGGGGTGGTTCCTGAATGAATGGATGGATGGATGGATGTCTTCCCTCAGCACATGTGTGTACTTTACCATAGCTAAACCCAGATGTGGCTGGTAAACAGCTGCCCAGAAGCCCAACGGGATAGCGGAGACGGGACATGAGACCTGAGGAGAAAGAAAGACGAGCATATCAAACCTAGTTACTAGTTACAGAAGGAAGAAGTAGGCATAGTAAAAGGTAGCACTTGCCCTTAAATAGTTAGGTGTAACAATTCTCTGGGTCATTAACATTTTCTCTTCTCCACTTAAAAACATCTTCATAATAGACACTCACTGTACACAAAGTTAACAAAACGGTTCTCTCACAAAATTCTCAGTGTGCACAGATGAATTGTTTTCACTTTGGCAACAATATGGCAAAACTTTCTTTAAATATTTGGAAGCATGTATGTAGTACATACATGGTACAAAAAAAATAAATGTTTTATTGTAACTTTTTCATACCAAGCATGTAGTTTATACATACTGAGGACTATAAATAGACCCCAAAATATTTCTGAGATTTTGCTATTATAAAGTATACTATATTTCTTAGAACATAGGTTTGTATTAGTCTCCTAAAGTTTCCTCTTATAAAATAGGATATTTCGATATTTGCAAAAGTGCTACAAAAAATTCACTTAATCATCAAATTGAACATCCTTTGAAAACATAGTTTTGAATTTGGGGTTAATTTGGGTTTGTTTTGTTGTTGTTGTTGTTCTGTTTTGACAGTAGCGTAGTAGAATGAGTAAGACGTCACATGATTGGGTCAAGATGAAAAAGTTCTAGACAACCAATGTGAATTTATCAATAAACATCCATTATTTCTTTCTTCTACTGCTACTGACTTCAATTAGTCTGTTTGCATTGTGTTCTTCTTTTTTTTTTTTTTTTTTTCGAGACAGGGTTTCTCTGTGTAGCCCTGGCTGTCTTGGAACTCACTCGGTAGACCAGGCTGGCCTCGAACTCAGAAATCCGCCTGCCTCTGCCTCCCAAGTGCTGGGATTAAAGGCGTGCACCACCACCGCCCGGCTTGGATCGTGTTCTATCTTGATGTTGGGAGACAGCGGTGAAGGAGATGCTGATGGCCTCTGCCCTCAAGGACCCCACTCTCTACGGGAGTGGGAAACAAACCAGTGTGCGTACTCCCCAGAAAAAGTCCATGGTAAACAAGACAGAGTGGATAAAATGTAGTGATGGGAGAATGGGTGGTGTAGGGAGGCCTTTCAGACAAGATGATGACAGTGACTGACAAGGGAGCCACCCACAAAGATCAGCAGGGAAAGCACCAGCAGGTGACTAGTGTGTGCACAAAGGCCGGGAGGCAGAGACAAGTCTAGTGAGCAGAAAATCAGGAGGGATTAAGACCTAGTGTACCGGCTTCTCTTCTAGGTAAATCCCAAAGATCCCAGCTGATACAAAGACAGTGATTCCTAAGATGATGATTCCTCCTCCAGGAAGCTCTCCCTCAGTGAGGAAATACAAGAAGAGCCAGAGCATTCGAATGTAAAATGGAATAAATACTACGTGAAGCTACACACAGCCTAGCTGGGACACAGACAAGAACACCAAGCACGTCTGTGTCTTTTGGAGTCTTTTGGGAGGAATGGCATCTGCCAAAAATAGAGTTGACCCTTAAGGAGAAACTCGAAAGGACTCTCTAGTCATGAGGGAAGAGAGAGGCGTGAACCATGGCGGTGGGTACTTGAACAAAGAGCAGCGGGTAGGAAGAGGCAGGAAATTATCATCAAGAAGGGTGTATTATTCTGGTTGTGATGGGTCTTGTAAGCTGTGTCAGAGGGCACTGCATTTTACAGCAAAGTGGGAGAGAAAGAGATGGCGCAAAAGAGACTGGGTGGGGGCAGTGAGTCTCAACAAGAAAGTGAAATCTTCACGTGGCCATTTTTGTTAGCTCACGGGTAGTAGCAGAGAGGTACATTGAAGGAAAGCGAGCTTTGGAGACAATGAGAATGTTATGACACTCATAGAAATTGCCCATGGGACTTATGATTAATCAGGGCAGCCCTGACACCAGAGGAGAACAGGGATCTGGAGGAACATATCTAGGATATGAAATTGATTGCATCTGTAATTAATCAAGAGTATTTACGAAGTCAGCAGTTTATTGTTCCTACCTCTTGGTGTTGGCCCAACCTGGTCTTTCATTATTTTGTAACCTCACCACATAAATTCTCTTTCTTAAGTGTTTTCTTTAAAGGAAGGAAACAGGAAGCAGTGTGGAGAAAGCAGGCTGGCCTGCTGAGGTGGGGGTTGTGTCTCCAACCCAGTTCTCAGCCTCCAGCCCTCTCGCCTGCACTTCCCCTAACCAAGCCTCTGATGACACTTGGAAATCCACATGGATTCACCCCATAAGTGGACACAGACGTCCTGGGATTCGTCCTCTGTGTACAGAACCAGTGTCACAGGTAAGGTGTTTTCTTTTGTTTTTGGTCAATACACAACTTTTCATGAATGAAATCTTCAAAAGAAAGTTACACTGGGGTAGTACCAAGATCTGTGATGCTGAGGTAAAGACATCCCCCCAACCCCCCAGCTCCAACTGGCCTGGCACAGATCAGGTGCAGGTTGAAGATCAGAGATGTGTCATTGTGGTAGAAGTTTCTGAGACCCCCTTGTCTTTCCACAAATGATAGGTTTGTAGAAGGAGACACAGCAAATGAGGGCTGAGGAAAAGGTTCAATAGTCTGGAATATTTACATCAAAGTGTGAGAGCAAAAGCCTGGGTTCTGTATAACTTTTGTGTTTTCTCAAAACAAGAAAGAATAGACGATGGGGAGCTTGAAGATAGTTTCCTGTTGTAATTATCTAAACAAAAGAGTAGATTTGGGAGAGCAGAGGAAAGCAGCCTCACCATTTAGAGATTTGAAACTGTGTTTCACTTAGCCCTCTGTAAACTTCCAGAAGAAATACATAACTAAGTCCCCTTCTCCTCTGTCATCTACCATCTTTAATCTGGTAGAAATCAAAAACTGCAACTCAAGTTTTGCTCCTTGACTGGGGTCAGGGCAGGAGGGTAGGAGACATATCAATGAGAACAACCATTGCCCAAGAAAGATTGAATTTCAAGCCCTGGGTGTCCAGGGTTGTTTGCTGCTGTTGGCTATCTGAAACCATGCATGCCTTCCCCGTCAAGGGACTGAACCCCAGCCCTTCCCACCAGACCTAACGCCTCACTTACCAGCTGCATTGTACTGGTGATACTGGATTAACTCGGGAACTGAGGGGAAGAGGTGTCTTTCGGTGACGTACCACTGTCCTGAGTCATTCTTTTTAATCTGATAATGTTTTATTGAAGACTGTGTATGCCTAGAATCAAGAAAATGTCAGTTACTAGAGACACAAAAGACTGCTTTAGAATGAAGTCAGTGTGTCAAGCAGTGGGACACCGATGCTCAAGTTCTCTTCCTGGCAACACTGCATGCTGATGACAGGATGGATGGGCTGGACAAACACCTACATCCTCAGGTGTCTTACCAGTACCTCATATTCAACATAACTTTAGGAGACAAGCCTCATGCCCAATAGAGCAATGCTCATGAAGAAGTACACAAAATATTTATTGAATGCTAAATGCTGACTAAACGAATGAGAAGTTCCATTACGAGGGATCTGAAGCCTGAGATGAGGAAGGCAAAGTCCACACATGGCACACTGCTGAGCAGGTCACAGCTTTGAGCAGCTGGCACTTCATCATGAAACTGCAGACAAACTGAGGTATTCGCTCCTCAGCCCCTTCCCTTACTTGGGGCAGGATGGGACATTCCTGAGGTGTTGCCTCTCAGGTACCTTCAGCATCATCACAAGTTCCCATAGCCGTAGAACAGCCTAGGTCTATAGGCATAGGAAGCTTATGGAGCCCAGGAGCCCTCTGTGTAGGCCAAGTCCACAGAAGACTGGGGTGTCTGAGGGCCATGCCAACAGTGTCAGCCACAACTAATCTACCTTGATGGAGAGGGTTCCTTGGGAGAAGGAAGAGAAGGAAAGCTTTGTAATAGATGTATCGTGTTACATGTTATGTAATAGATTATGAGAGGTACAGCGTGACTGGGATAGTTATCCCAGTGTCTAGCAGTCTCCTCCCTAGGGTGAGCCCTCTCTCATAGTCCCCATGCGATGGTATCACTACGAATCAAATCATCCCAAGGAGTAGTTCTAAAGTCATCGAGAACACAGATGCTTACTTACCTTCCAGCTCTTGTAAACACCGAGATTGTGTAAGACCCCAAGTGTCTCGAATCTCTCACGAGAAATGCGCCTTCTTTAGCCTGCACAAATCAAAGGTATCCATTGTATGGGTATATACCTCCTTAGACAAGTAAGCTGAGATCTTACTGATGAAAAGCAAACCTAGATAGGTTTACTGTAAGTAACTTCTATAAATAAGTAACTGACTCCTGTACTCTTACTATTGGAGAATGAGACTGCTTCACATAGCATCCTACTTCCTCTTTCTTAGAGATTTAGAAATCATATGCTCAGGCATATGATTATTAGGCAGGTTAGATACGAAATGCATCATATATGAGTGTTTTAAACCGTTGACCTTGGGTTTTTTTTTTTTCAGGAAAAGTCCTGATTTTGACCATCTTTTACCCAGCATTTAGTGTTTTCTGTTCTTGATTAGGATAACATGAAAATCACTGATCCTTAGCATAACCTCTGAGACAAGACAGACAAGGCTGTATGTTAGAAGAGGCAGGTGAAGGATTTGGGGAGAAATGTTTCTGGAAAGGCAGAGAGTAGGATGAGAGGTCAGCGTTCCTGAGGAAGAACGGCATGTCAGGATCCTGGTGAGAGTTGCAAACAGGTGTAGGATGTGGGTGAGATGAAGGGAGAGAGAACTATGCTCTCCCAAGGAGAAAGCATGCTAACACTTTCAATGCTCTGTTAAGAACTACATCCCTGTGGACCTTCTTTTGAAGAAACTCTAAGGAAGCTGTAAATTGCTTTCCGATCATTTTGACAGTTCAAGTGCTTTGTTTGTTACTGCAGAGACTTTCTGCTTTATTGGGTGTGTTTACTTATGTTCCTGAAGGCAGAACAGCAGGAGGATCTCTCTTACCAAACCCAAAGAGCGGTTGTTCTCAACCTTCCTAATGCTATGACCCTTTAGTGCCATGTCACGTGGCCCTCCTGTCATGGTAGAATTATTTCATTACTACTTTGTAACTGTAAATTGGCTACTGTTATGAATCATAGTGTAAACATCTGATATGCAGGATATCTGACATGTGACCCCCCTCAAAGGGGTCACAACCCATACTGCCATAGAAGATTATGCTTAGGAAGTGCTGTAGCACTCAGGTTGCATGTGTGACAATATGGCCAACCCCTCACAGGCACTTAAGATACTAAATACAGTCTCCTCTCACACTTGCTCAAAGACATTAGGGTCAATCCCCAACTGAAGTCTCCAGAAGCATTACAAATGACAAAATCCAGCCTTCACTGGATTCTTATGACGCACAAGCGATGCATCCCCGTTATATATCAAAGGGGAACACAAGATGTAAATGACCAAAGTGTCCCAAGTGAAGTTACATGTGTGCTTCATGTGTCTGTTATTGTGGGTACACAATCAACGTATAGAGTATGCAGACAACAAGACTGTATGCTGAGTGGTCTCTGCTTGTAAAAAGAAGGAATACTGCCAAATACAAAACTAGAAATTCCTACCAAGCCTCCAAGTACAGTATTGCCAGCATCTCCAGATTTTACATTTTCTTTTATCTAACTCAAGGAAACTAAACTATGGGTGAGGGGCTGGAGAGACAACTTGGCGGTCAGGAATACTTGTTGCTCCTCCAGAGGACCAGAGTTCAGTTCCCAGCACCCACCTTGGGCGGCTCACAACCACCTGTAACACCAGCTACACTACATAGGACACATTCCTCTGGCCTTCACAGACACCTGTACATGTGTCAGACAGACAGACAGACACACACACACACGCGCACACACACACATGTACACACAGGTAAGAAAAGTAACATAAATCCTTTGACTATAAACTACAATTAAAATATCTAAAACAATAAGGAAGCGTCCTGCACGAGAGCCTCTGCTGTGTAGTTCAAACAGTGCTCAGAAATAAACCTGTGTTCTTTTTATTTACAGGAGTGCTGCACTGACGAACAGCCAAGGTAAGATTATCTGCTGGCGCGCATGTCAGTAGGGTATTGTCCTGATTGCCTTGATGATGTTGGCAGCACCGTGTCCTGGGCAGGAGGTTCTGGGCTGTATAAGAAAGCCAGGTAAGCATAGCCCTGCAAATAAGCCAGCAAGCAGGGTTCCTCCATGGCTTCTGCTTCAAGTTCCTGTTTGAGTTACCACCCTGACTTCCTCTGATGACGGACTGCAGCTTGTAAGCTGAAATAAAAACCTTTCCTTCCCCAAGTTGTGTTTGGCCAGAGTATTTTGTCATAGTGACAGAAAGGAAACCAGAGGAATCAATAAACGAAAATAAATGAACAAGTAAATAATTAAAAATAGGCATATCTAATTCCAGAAGTTAGAGTCAGGATTATAAAATAAACCCAGGTGTCTGAGTTAGGGATATCATTCTTGTAATGAAACATAGCCAAAAGTAACTTGGGAAGGAAAAGCTTTTATCCAGAGTCATAGCTCACTGAAGAAAACCAAGGCAGAAACCCAAACTGTGTGGGAACCTGGAGGCAGGAGCTGGAGTAGAGACCATGGAGGGGTGCTGCTTACTGGCTTGCTCCTCATGGCTTGATCAGCCTGCTTTCTTATAGAACCCAGGACCACAAGCCTAGGGATGGCACCACCCACGATGAGGTGGGCCCTCTCCTATCAATCACTAATTAAGAAAGTGTCCTACAGGCTTGCCTAAATTCAGATCTTATGGAAGGATTTTCTTAATTGAAACTCCCTTCTATCAGATAACTTTAGCTTGTGTCAAGTTGACATAAAACTAGCCAGCACACCAGGTAAAGTTAAAGAAGAAAACTGACACATATCAAAGTAGAAGATAATAAATTATAGAGACAAAAATATGATACAACCAGTAGTTAAGTTCAAAATCTGGTCGTTCAAGGAAAATAACAGATAAGCTAATTAACCTAGTCAATAACTAATTGTGAAAATTATCAAAAGAATTATGTCACAAGATCTGTAAAAAAAAAATAAGTCTTCATTTGCCTGTAACAAATTTTAAAACTTGAATGCAATGGATAAACAAAACAGCTTTTCAGGATTGAAGCCAATTAAGCTAAAAATCTTAATGGATCCAGAGGTAGAACAGTGGGCCCAATTCTTAAAACACAGCATTAGCAAGCACCATAGTCATATACTGGAAAATACTAAACTTGAAAGGAAAAACTAGTGTAAAGATTGACCTATTCCAGAGCAAGGGAACCAAAGATATACTTCAAATAATATGTGTGGAAGGTCACTTTGACATCAGTAAAGTCAACTCTGCCCAGGCTGCGCAACAGAAAGGCCACTGAGCAGCCTCATTTCATAACACATATTAAAGAAAGTGTTAATAAATTGAATCGAGTAGCACCAAAGCCCACGTGTACCACATTGGTGCATTGATTTATAGTGCCTAAATGTTTTCCCTGGTGTAATCTCTACACTGAGCGCAACCACAGAAAGGTTTGTTTTCAATGTGCTGTAGTGATCTTGAGAGTGAGGAAAGTTAACCACACTAGAGAAAGCCTTCATATTTAAAATAGTTTATGAACACACACACACATGCATACACACACATGCACACACACACACACCCACACACACCCCTTGTGTTGTTTCTGATCCTAGTGAACATGGTTTGAGTTTTTTTCCATTTAACTTGATGGTGGTCATAGGTTTGTCATAGACAGGCTGCCGACTGAAGACAAGTTGAAAATAAAGATGTAATTTTTTATCATTATGAACGTGACAACTCAAGTGAGTGGAAAAGAAGAAGATAGTTGGTAAATAAGTAACGCCCGCCCCCCTCCAACCTCATTGCAACAGGAAACCTTTGGAATGATCCAAAGGTACAAGTTCACCAGATAAAACCACTAGCCTCATCCAGAAACATGGGGAATATCTCTTGTAATCTTGAAGTGGAGAAGGCAGTTCTAGCTTGATATAATCTATCAACCTTTAAAAAGAGAAATGTGTCTGGTGAATTCAAACATGTAAAACTCAAATGCCTTATTCATGCCAGAAAACCACCGAACAATCAAAAACATATAGGAAGTAAAGTCACATGCCTCCAGGATTAGTGTCCTTAGTTATAGCTACATAGATTCTACAGATTCTGAGAAAGTCATCCAAAACCAGAAAACCATGCAGAGGATATGAACAGATGGTTACAGCAAAGAAAATCAAACACATAAAATGTAATGTATAAAAAATGCTTAACGTCCCTAGGCTAAGAGACTGCAAATCAAATCTACCGTAAGATGAGGCCTCAGGGAAGGATCCAGATGTTGCACATGAGATGCTGCCTGGAAAGGCTTTGGGAAACACAAGCTCCTGTATTTCCGGTGGGTATCCAGACTCATGTGATTCTTCACCTTTCCTACAGAGGGCGCCTTGAGGTCTACGGAGGTCAGAAATGCATATCCCCTTCAGCCCTGGATTTCCACTCTAGAGACTTAGTTTCCAAAAAGACAAATAAATAGAAAACTATGTGTGCGAGGAGAGAGAGGAGGGCAGCACGGTTTAATAGAAAGGAGAGCACATCTCACTTACTTTCCATAATGAACCGTTGACTTACAAACTGCGATATATCCAAACCAGGGAACGGAACAAGACACAGCTATAAAGCGAATGAAATACACTCTTGTGTACTGATGTGGGAAGACAGTAGGAAGGACAAAGGGGCCGTGTAGAAGAGTACACATAGGGGCTGAGGAGACGGCTCAGCGGGTAAAGCACTTACTGTGTATCCATGCGGATCCAAGTTTGGATCCTCAGCACCCGTATAAATGCTGGTCCCATGTGGCAGCCTGCCTGTAATCCCAACACTTGGGAGACAGAAAGGGAATTCCTGAAACAGTCTGGATAGCTTAACTTAACAAACCAGCAAATTCCGGGTTCAAGTGAGGGACCCTACCTTAGTATGTAACATAGAGAACAAACAATGATGATTCCAGATATCAACTTCTGGCTTCCACTCACATGCACACAAAGACACAGGCACGTGCGCGCACACACACACACACACACACACACACACACACCTTGTCTTGTTCCTAATCTTAGTGGACATGTTTGGAGTGTTTGTTCACAGGTTTGTCATATACAGCCTTTATTATGTTGAGATACATTCTCTTTATCCCAACTCCCAGAATTCTTTATCATGAAAGGATGTTATATTTTTGTCAAAAGTGATATGAAGGGGAAAGAAAAGACTATGGAGCAGGCGGATCTCTGAGTTCGAGGCCAGCCTGGTCTACAGAGTGAGTTCCAGGACAGCCAGGACTACACAGAGAAACCCTGTCTCGAAAAACCAAAAAAAAGAAAGAAAGAAAGAAGGAAAGAAAGAAAGAAAGAAAGAAAGAAAGAAAGAAAGAAAGAAAGAAAGAAAGAAAGGAAGGAAGGAAGGAAAGAAGGAAGGAAGAAAGAAAAGACTATGGAGAAGATGCTTAAGAGGGGCGGGGGACAGGATAGAAGAGAAAGGAATTTGAGAATTAGGGGGAGGAATGACTAACACTGAAGATATTTGAAAGAACCACATAGAAACCTACTATTCTATAAATTTCCGCGTACGCACATCTCTCTCTCTCTCTCTCTCTCTCTCTCTCTTTCTCTCTCTCTCTCTCTCTCTCTCTTTCTCTGTGTGTGTGTGTGTGTGTCTGTGTTTGTGTCTGTGTCTGTGTGTCACTGTTTCTGTCTCTCTGTCTCTTTGTTTCAGTCTCTGTCTGTCTTTGTCTTTCTGTCTTTCTGTTTCTCTGTTTCATGTGTATCTCTCTGTCTTTCTTTTTCTTTCTGTTAGTTTAAATATAATTATCCTACATGAGAGATAACGCTTTTTCTCAGAAGCCACAGGTTGCCAATTAAAAGGCCCAATTTCAAATACAAGACACTACCTCTCTACTAACTAGTTAGTCAAAGGAGTCCCAGAGGACCCCGAAACCTTACAAGCTATTTTCATTGTTCTTGGTCACCCACCAGAACTTGATGGTGAGACCCTATTGTTGAAGACACCACACACTCTGGTCCCAGAACTTAGAGAAATCAAGCTGGTACTTCTCAGAAAACTTCCTCTCTTCTGGCTCGCTTTCCTGGTACACAGGACATGGGATGTAGGTTCTGGGGGAGTTAAAAATCAATCCTCTTAACAGTGGTGACCCCTGTGAGGTACAATAATGACGGATAGGAAGCCATTCCCATTAGGATGATAGTGACAGGACCCTTATGGGGCATGAACAACTACTTTTTGATAGGATTTAAGGCCCCTGGCTCAGGAGGAAACTTACACCCGGTAATGTAAATCTGGCCAAGAATCTGTTGCTGGGGAGCTCATAAATCCTAGGGGTGAGCATACTACTATTATTTTGAAAAAATGAAGATAGTATCAATGTTCCCCCTAAATGCATATCTCTATACCTGTAGATGAGTACAACTCTCAGGCCTTCTCCAAGAGGCATCTTTGTGTAGCAGATGGCAGTTCATTCAGACCCACTACTGATCAAACTACAGAAAGCATGGGTTGGTGGGACCTTCAGGTATAAGTGAGATCACTATATCATATCCACTTCCTTCCAAGAGTTAGGAAATGGTGGACCATGGGGACACATAGCATGTAAGAGTCAGTGGGATGGGAAGAGAGGTGCAAAACAGTGTTTTGGCTTGACAGGGCTTCCATAGTCATGACCTCACAGCAGCTGTGGCTGCCTGCAGGAGCCTGTGCTAGACCAATCCAGTCAGCATTGCAGCATAGATGGAGGAGGGACACACGCGCCCACCCCTCGCTGAGGAGCTACTGACAGTTGATGGCAGGTAGTGGAAGGAAAGTCAGTTCTCATTAGGAATGTGGCCTTCGTGCTCCAGTGGATGGCTTCACTCCAGTGTATGTGTGGGCAGTTATACTTAGCAGTTGATTTTTTTTTTAAGGATATAAAGTTAGGAGGGAGATGTGAGGAGAGACCTGGAGGGAGTTGGAAGAAGAGGGAAGGGAATATGATCAAAATGTCTATACTTTATATGGAACTCTTAAAGAGTAAAAGTGTAAACTAGTATCTTACTTTTCTATCTCCATGGGAAAACATCATGAACTAGGCAACTTATAAAAGAAAACGTCACTTGGAAGACATGGGACCAGAGGGCTAGAGTTCATGAACATCCTGGGAGGGGGGGGGGCAGGGTTTCAGAGCAGCAGGCAGGCAAGCAGGGTCCTGGAGCATTAGCTGAGAGCTTACAGATCAACCATAAGCACAGAAACAGAGAGAGAGAGAGAGAGAGAGAGAGAGAGAGAGAGAGAGACAGAGAGACAGAGAGACAGAGAGACAGAGACAGAGAGAAAGAGACAGAGAGAATTCCGGAAGCTTCAGCATCTCCCTGCTCGCCCTCACACACCCAGTGACATACTTCCTCCAACCTGGCCACACTTCTTGATCCTTTCTGAACAACTCTACCACCAGGGGACCAGGCATTCAAATGTATGAAACTTTGAGGACCACTGGAACGCAAATAACCACACCAGTCAAACTCAAACTATTCTGCATCAAGGCTTGAAAAGACCTAGTAATATTAAATCTGAACATGCCTGTATGCAAGATGATTCTTACAAGGAAGCATAGTCTCGCTGTGTCCCTAACAGTAAAAAGCTATAAACAATTTGAATGTTTATGAATATTGAATACATTTTATTTATGCATACAGTGAAATAGTAAACAATATGTTGGTTCTGCACGGACATGTGTGAATGAACATAATATTTTTATAAACATCCAAAAATTTGAGATAATAGCTCATACCTATTACCCTAGCAACTGGAAGGTAGAGGCAGCAGGACTGCCTCAAATTTGAGTCCAACTTGGGCTACATGGTGAGACTTTGTCTCAAAAATAAGTAAATATCAATCTATATGACTGTCTTCATTCAAGCGGTAAAATCATTCATGTAGACATATAGATAATATTTATGTTTATAAACAGATGGACAGATGAGAACACATCTTTTTTTTTATTATTCCCTCTAGTGAGTGTAGAGAAAAAAATGATGCTGTGGGCTTCAACTGTGTATGTAATTTTAGACCTTTCAGAAATGTCAGGTAGCTAAGCATAGGGCACATGCTTGCAATTATGACTTGGGGGTTAGATGCAGGAATATCACAGACTAAAGATTATTCTCGGTTATGCAGTGAGTTTGAGGTCAGCCTGGGTTATATGAGGCTCTATTTCATACAAGAGAAAACCAGCAATAATAACAAAAAAACTTTGAAAAAAATCAGGGCCAACTTTTTAATACTGCTTCAGTGTGGCAGGCATGTGGGCTGTTCTGTAACTCTTAGCTCTAGCAAGATGAGGCCATCCAGGTACAGAAGCTCTTGTGCTGGACATACACCGTCCTGTGACAGTGATCACGTGACCTATACTGCCTTGCTCATTGTGAAGCTGCCCCCAGCTTTCCTCCCCCTAACCTTCCAGGCTGAAGCTACTGATTTCACAAGCTTTCTCTAGCATGCAGAGCTAGGCCCGTCCAGGCTCCATCTGAGGCCACAAATGGGCTTCCCGTCCTCCACACGGTCCCCTATTTTGCAGTTGGTCTCCTCAGAATCCTGGGCCATTGCTTACATGGATTTTTTTTTTATGTATAGATACAGAGTTGATTCTCATTCATAGTTCCTCCCTGAACACCTGAAACCAGCAGAGAGTGACACACTTCCTCTCCCGGGTCTGGGTTGGACTCCTTTCCCCACAGTGACCATGCACTGACAATTGGAAACTTAAACTCTCAGTTGTTTTGTCTTGCTTTGACCTAAATGAGTAGTTTTGATATGAATTTAATATCTTAACTATCAACTCTCCCCTTTGTTTCTAAAAACCAAAGAAATCAACACTGCATATTTTTCTGTGTTTGTGCTTTTCATGAGTGTAAGCAGAGGTCACCAGGTTAGAGTCTCTGTTGCAGCAAAGAACATACGGCAGTGGTTCTTAACTTCTGGGTCATGACCCATTCAAGGTTTAACAGCGCTTTCCAAGGAGACCATCAGAAAACACAGATTTTGCATTATGAGTCTTAACAGTAGCAATGTTACAGTTATGAAGTAGCAGTGAAAATAATTTTATGGTTGGGGAAGGCTCACCACAGCATGAGGAACTGTGTTAAAGGACCGCAGCCTTAGGAAGGTTTAGAACCACTGTCATGGGTGACTCAGATACAGACTCCCCTGAGAGAATGCGTGTTGAATGAAGGAGAGTCTAGAACTGACACCATTTCAAGAGAAATATCCTTCTGAAATGATGACAGCAGTCCATGAAAAGGTAATCTTATGAAAATATGTCTGAATTTTGACTTGGAAAAATGTGCAGTGGGGATGGTATTTTAAGTGTGAGGGTATTTTAAGATTAGAAAGAACACAAATACACCTTTCTTGAACGGCTACAATCTTTCTAATAAACTTCTCAGGATTACTAGAAATATCCACAGGCATGTTCTGGACACACAGACTCACCTCCTGCCTCAACAGGCGTTCTGTCTGGTTTCTCGTAATATTCTTATGGTACCATCTGGAAAAGTAGCAAAGAACACATTTTTAACTTTATATTATTTTTTTCAGCCTCTCCCCCTGCCAAAAAAAAAAAAATTACTCGAATTTCTTCATTTTAAAGTCTTTACTTTAGAATTCATTTAGAAAGCTGCGACTTAAATTCAGAAAAATAACAATGTTCTGTTAGATTGCCAATTTATCAAGCTGAATACATTTGTTTTTCTCGTTAGAGGAAAAAAAAACAAATGTGATTTGTTCTACCATAGTTCACATCCCTCTTCTGACCCATGCTGTATTTATATACAATTTTGTATGGCTTGACATCTTGTAAAAGTCCATGAAAGATACAAAGTTCAGAAGTTATCATATCTTCAACAAATGCTTCGTTCTCCGAGTAAACTAAAATATAGCCATATCCAAATCTTTCTTTCCCCTCAGGAAGTTCCTGTGTACGTGCTTTTAGAAGTGATGGGTCTCTTTCGACATGAAATTCATCCTGGCTTACCTAATTTTCCTAAGACACCCTTGTCCCCCAATATAGTTAGTAATTAACAGAGTCTACAGACAACCAACCAATGTTCTTGACCCATATTCTTTTGCCTTCTCTCTTACCACTGTCTGCCATTACTCACTAGGCCACACTGGGATTCTTTCCTTCCTTAAATCAGTGTTTCCTTCTACCTTCAATCCCTCTGTTCTCTCTGCATTCGATGTGTTATTGAGTGACTACCAAAACTACACACAGTAAGCATAATCAAATTATAAGATAACATGTAGCTTGATATGACCAACCTTAAGCAGTAAACATACAGTGTACAGAAAACAGAGAAAGATGGTCCAACGAAGACAGAAAGGTTGAGGAATTTTCAATGTCAAAGCAAAAATATTTACAAAGAACTTTAAATGTCATGGAATATTACCAGAAATACTGCTCTGTGGAGAGTAGAGAGAAGAAGGTTGAACAGGGACTGAGTCACCGTGAATGGGCCAGAGGTGGCTCACTGAAACCCCTCTGAGTCACAGGATGGAGTCCTTTGGTAAATGCACTTCCCCTAACACCTGCTGGTGAGAAACTGACTCAAAATCTGGATGGTCAGCCAACTAAACGACCAATGGCATCAAACTGGAAAATAAACAGTAGAAAAGATGAACCGAGGGAAACAGGAGATGATGACAATGGATTTCAGACAAAGGAATTGGCCACTCAAGACATGAACTTGTGGAGAGTAACAGTGAACATCTGTTGGGACTTCCAAGTGAATGTTACAGTAGTGGAAGAATTCCAAGATAGGTGTGAGATCTCTTACAGAAAGACTAAATCCCTTCTGATGAAATGAGGCAGTATTAAAGGCACGGGAAACTAATGCAGAGAGGTCACTACTGGTTGGGTTGTAAAATTTGCAGGTTAAAAGGAAATAGTGATAAAAAAGTGGAAAGCTGAATCTGAAAGGCCAAAGCTGAGGTCTATGTGTGGACAGAGGAAACAACTACCCCTATGTCCGTACAGATAGTGGATTTACAGGGACACACGTGAGACCTTCATGGCCTCTTTGTTAGCCAAAGCCCTGTCACATTGCTACAACATGTGAAGCTATATTTGTTACTGTTGGCCTGGATAGACAGATGCCCTGTGTGAGATGGACATAGAAGAATGCATAGCAACCCCTGACAGTTTGGGGAGAATGGGCAGAGTGGTCCTCAGAAGATCTGTATGTACACACTGCATGCAGGTCTGCCTTCCTCCTTCAACCCCCTTGGAGCCTCAGACCGTGTGTGTATCTGTCAGCCTGGATTCACAGACAGGAGCCTAGCTTAACTGTCCTCCGAGAGGCTCCAACCAAAAGTTGATGGAAACAGATGCAGAGACTCACAGCCAAACATTAGACAGAGCTCAGGAAGTCTTGTGGAAGAGTTGGGGGAAGGATTAACGAACCCAGAGGGGATAGGGACCCCACAAGAAGATCAACAGAGTTAACCAACCAGGACACTTAGGAGCTCTCAGAGTCACCAGCCAAAGAGCATAAAAGGACTAGACCTAGGACTCCTGCACATATGTAGGAAATGTGCAGCTTGGCCTTCACGTGAGTCCCCCAATAACTGGATCAAGGGCTACCCCTGACTGTGCTGACTGCCTGTGGATCCTGCTCCCCTAACTGGGCTATCATGTAGGGCCCCAGTGGGAGAGGATGTGCTTAGTCCTGTAGTAAGTTGAGGTGCCAGGGTGGGTTGGTTCCCCAGGAGGGACCTTTTCCTTCTCAGAGGTGAAGAGAAAGGAAAAATGGGTGGAGGGGCTGTGTAAGGGAGGACTAGAAAGAGGGGAGGGCTATAATCAGGATGTAAAGTGAATGAATAAATAAATAAATGGAAAAAAACTCTACAATGCTACTCAAAATGAGAGTTCATATAAGTTGCATTCTTAAATATATTTTCCACCTGCTATGATGTTAGTGTTAATTTTAGTATTTTACATTTGTTCATTATAGTGATAAATAGCAAAAGTGAATGCATTCTTCTTGTTTAAATGTGAAGTAGAAATTCGCACATATGGAAATGTCTTAATAACTTCAAAGTGGTCACTAGAGAGCCAGGTAGAAAAGATTTGTGACAAAGTCAGAGTCTTTGCAGGACTATTCCTTTTAAGTAATGAAGAGGTGCAATGAGGGTGACCCGAGATCGGTAGCACAGTGGGGAGCACCGTGTTTCAGAATTTTATCCACTTACATCATACTCTAAAACTTAGACGTGCTTATAAAAAATGAGGTAATACCATGTCTTAGTTTCATTTCCTGTTGCCAAGCTAAAGCACCTCAACAAAATTGAGGAAAGCTTTATTTTGGCTCAGAGGTCCAGGTTACAATCCACTATCTCCAGGAAGTCAGGGCAGTGGGAACTAGAGGTTGTCAGTCATGGTCCATCCAGTCAGGAGCTAACAAGTCCATTCCTTCACTGCCATTAAAGCCTACTTCTTTGGGATTCCAGTGTGTATCAAAATCTAGCTGAGACATCCAACTTCAAGGGCTGACAACAACTGGATTCTTGGATCTTCCACTGACATATCTATATCCAACACAGACAGCTATTGTTAGACCAGCTGGACCACAGCCTGCAAGCCACTATAATAAATCTCCTTTAAGACATATATATGTTATATACATACTATATATTATACATATATATTATATGTATATATACTAGATATTATACATATATGTATAATATATATTATATGTATATATATATATAAGATATATATATTATACACACACATACACACACACATTCACACACACACACATGAGATTTGTTCCATAAGCTCTGTTCCTCCAAAGAATCCTGACTACCACACTGACTAAACACAGTTGCCTGGACCTATACAGTTAGGGAGCCCTGCGTAGGGAATGGTGCCAACCACAATGGGCGGGTCTCCCTACTCTGTTGATGGAATCCAAATAATCCCCTATAGTTGTGAAGAGAATTCTCACTGAGTCTCATTCAGTCTCACTGAGACTCTCTTCATAGCTGATCATAGATTGCATCAAGTTGATAATTAAAGCCATCATAGACGGTATCCTCCATATCTAGATACTTTATATTAAACTAATACCAAATAGTGGACATTTAAAAAGCAACGCAACATATGAAGCTGCAGTTCAGCAGAAACAGCCTGTGTGTGTATTATATAAGGCCTTGAGTCTCACACGCACACCTCCTAGAATTCTGATGGTGAACCTGAATGGGTATGGGGTAGTATGGCGATAGACCCCTCTTAGATTTCTAAGTAATGGGTAACACTGTTGTGCTCCTCAGGTTTTGATTTAGAAAGCCCATTACATCCAAAAAGCTGGATTCGCTTCCCTTAGTCGATGACTGTGTAGCTCTGAAAACGTCAAGGATTCAGTACAGAGGGAAAAAGATACATCAGCTAGTTCACCTCCCAGGTAGAGTTTGGACGATCAACGCATTTAGTATTTTAAATGCTTATAAGAAGATATGGAGTATTCTGGCTTTGCTGGTTTCAAATGCATAATTAATTCTAAACTTGTTATTTGCAGCAAAAGAGAATTTAACTCATTTGTAAATATTTGCACAGTTAAGAGAACTTAATTTCCCACATCATTTAAACATTCAACTTTCCAGCATCACTTAAAGGATTTACACAGGACTTACTACGACTCTACATTTGCTCTGCCAATTACGTGAGATACTTCAAACCAAAACCGACTATATCCCGTTTATTAATGCAAATCAGATGTTTCAGAAAGTTTAATTAACAGGGCTCATAACTAGCACTAAATATTTAAGTACATTTAGCGGATAGAACTTGAATTACAATGATTCTTCTTATTTATTCAAATTTATAAATAATTTATCAGGATAGGCCTGTTGAATGTAAAAGCTTACTGAAAATTGTGTGAGTACAACTGTCTGTTGATAAATTGAGTGTGTGTTTAAACAAAAGCAGCCATCAATACTTCTAAGTATCTGTGTTCCCCCCGGGATAGCGGAAGTCCTCCGTCATCTTCACACTGCCTCCTCTCACCTCAGGTGCGCATATCACGTTCTTATAAGCGTCTTTCCTAACCCAACTCTCCCACCTACATCCACCACTTCCCCCTGGTTTCTCCTGTGATGTCTTACACTACTCTTTTAGAGCTACAACTTAGCACTGTAATTTAGAATCATATATTTGTATTTTTTTTTAAAAAAATAGGATTGCTTTAATGTCTGTTTCCTCTGTTAACTGTAAGCCCCATTCAAACAAGGAAAGCTCTGTGTGTTCTAAATTGCATCCCCAGGGTTCAAAGCAACTAAGATCAGATACATCTCCAGTGTACCACAAACGGGCTTGAACACATAAATGAAATTCAGATGCTAAAGCAACTAGGACATACTGACCACCTGTAAAACTAGGCAGGGTAGGACAAACTGTAAAGGACTTTCCCATGGTCTTCATTGTTAACAGAAATGACAATAATCACTAGACTGTAGTGAATGTTACTGTGCACCACATGAAGTAGGTATCCTCACTTATTAGAGCATTCATAGACAGTAGGAAGTGTTGCCCAGAAACAAAGCACTGTAATGATGACACTATAGTTTGTACTCGGTTGCTCCTGAACCCAGTAACTCCACCTATGGAAGTTCTTTTGGATAGACATCACAAAAGTGTTTGTCACATACTAAGTGACCAATAAATTCTAGTGGTTAATTATGATAACTATTATATTTTAGGGTAATGCACCTGTTTAAAAAGAAATAAAATTTAGGGAGTCATCCTAAAATTTGAATCATTAAAAAGCAAGATTTCAAAATTCACGTAAACAGGAGCCCAGAGAAATGAAATGGAAATTCTGACCCTAGAGGTGTTCATTTGGTATCTACAGTATAAACCAGTCTAAAACCAGAGGCTTGGTTTAGTCTAAACAGAGAAAGCCAAGAGCAAATGAGACATGGTGGAAAGAAACGAAGGTGGCTTCATTGCCAGTGAGTGTCCATTCAGTTATCACCAGGCCTGTAGGCATTGTCACACGTGTCTCCTTTGATCTGCTGGAAAATCCAGACTTGAACAACAATCTTAAAAAGTGTCCTGTTTTTCTAATTATTCTGGGTTGGTTTTCATGTGCACTCTCTTTTAAACTAGACTTGTGTTGCTGGCCAACTTCAGCACAGGGGAACAGTGAGATCCCATGGGGCAGGCTTGCATCACCGTACATGGCCACCACGCTGTTTTCTAAAGGAGGTGGCTCAATCCCCCAAAGAGGATGGAGGGAGGAGACTGGAATCTTAAGCCAAAGGGTCAAGTCAACAGAAAGGACATTTGAGACAGAAAAGAGTGAAGATACTTGGTGATGGAGCAGAAGAGCATGATATGAGGGAGGGAGGAAGAACCGCCAGAGCAGGCTGGGAAATCCTATCAGATGTGCCGAATGTCCTGGGAGCATCTCCATCTATGCTCAAAGATGGCCCTGCATACTCATCACAACTTTTGGAATTGGAGCTATTTTAGGGAAAGGTATACTGAATCTTGCCTAAATGAGTAGCAAGGCCAAGGAAGTGTCTTCCTCTGTATTTGATGTCTGGTCTCAAGAAATACTTGACACCACTACTCTTATCACAAACTGACGCCTGTTGGAAACATTTGCTAGTTACAAGACAAGCACCCAAAGGGAAGAGGGGGGCATGAATCCAAACTGAGAATCTAACTTTATAAAAATACAAGACAAGCTCTGTCACTTTACAGCTGTGAATTCATCTAGCAACCTTATGTTGTCACCAGAAGCATGAGAGCTACAAAGTCACTGCTCAGATCTCCCTATCCCAAAGTTATAATTGTTATCTAAAAGAGAGGAAGGTTTTTAAAGCATTCGATAAGCATAATTAAGGTTCTTTCAAACAACATCATCAGCCTACCTCTTCTCAGCTATTTCGGAAAAGTATCAGAACAAGAGACAGCATGTAAGAACCAGGCAGTGCAGACTGTCTGATTTACAATCTGTCATTTTGAAAAAATAAGTGCTCTGTGTAAGACACACAGTACAACTCATATATCAGCGTATCTAAGGCATGGCCATGCCAAACAAAACAAAGAGGAGCTTAAGAAGGATTCTCAGAAGCAACTGTGGTAAGAATCGGAGCTCTCTTCACTGCTTAGACTCTCTAATGTGTTACTTTCTTTTTCTTTTGCAAACTTGAAAACTGTCTATACTTCAAAGTTCTCGGCAGGTCTCTGACTCTCCAAGGTTAATCATGGTGCAGTCATGTTGAGGGGACTTACTCATATGTCTCTAAATTGGTGAGTCTGTTTTCTGTCACATAGTTGCTCGGGATTAAGCCTTCGTTCCTACAACATAACATAAAACAAAAATCTCGAGATGGAAGACCAATTCGCAACATTACTGTGACGACAGTTACTCAACCCCACCCCCAACCCAGGGAAGATCTAGGGAAAAACCAAAAAAAAAGCATCTTACTCATTACACAGATAAAAATGTTTGATCTTTCCAACTCTACAAAAACCTCTCTACAGTAGATATACCAAGATCCTGACTTACAAACTATTTTAGGAGATTATATGACCCAATTTTCTTTTTTTTTGTTGAAATAATCTTATCATGTAACCCAGGCTGACCTCAAATTCCCAGCCACCTCAAGAGTGATAGGGTTTCAGGCTGCTGTCACTGTGCCCAGCTCCAATAAGCCAATATGCATTTTAAAGGAAAAGTGGGTGTGGTTCTGAGTTTAGACTCAACAAGCTCTATTTCCTGGGAACGATGTTGTAGGCTGAGAAATTGTCCCTCACTACAGGTTGGAATGCCTCAGAAGTAAAAACAAGCAATTAGCTTTTTATTTTGCAGTTGAATGTATAGGGCTTATAAAAAAAAAAACTGCCAAAATTCTGCTCTGTCTTCTTTGGGGCCAAAATGTACACTATTCCCCAACCCAAAGTGAAGGGCAAGCTAACTGACTCATCCAAAATTGAGTCTAAGCTCAGCCCAACCTGGACTACTGGAGGATTTCGGGTCGTTAGATAAAAGTCACCATTCTTTAGGAACTTAAAGAAACTGGTTCCCACCTGTCAAAGGGAGTCATTTCCCTTACCTCTGGCAGGGGGACAAATGGCTACCTGTGGTTGCCTATCAAAGCTCAAGCCAGCCTCCGGGCTCCCTCAGTATCTCAAGTACCTGTCATACATTTCAAGATCTATGCTAACATCTTTCTTTCCCCACCTGCTCCCATGCCCCTCTTCCCAGATAGATACCTGTTACTTCTCTTTATAATGCCAAGGTTTCTTCTACCTCTGCTATTCTCATTGTTCTATTTATGTATGTATCTATGTGTGTATGTATCTATCTTCCATCAACTCTCTTATTATCTATCTATCTACCTATCTTCTATCAACTCTTATCTATCTATAGATCTATCTCTCCCCTATTCTCTGTCTTGCTGTCCCACTACCTCCTCTCTCCTCTCCTTACTTCCTTAGCCCTGGCCAACTCCAGTTTGCCGGCATTCTCATTCTGCTTCCTATCCTCTCCACTGTCTCTCCCTGACTCAGGGTCTTCTCTACACAAACCACCTAGCTGTATCATGGAGCAGTCACACTGGCAGGTTCTTTACTGAGGCCCCTCATACACAGTCACTACTTCCAAACAGTCTCGTCCCTGCACACGACATCACTGTCCACTTAGTGGTCATGTTCAATGAGCTATGCTCACGTGTTGAAATATGTGGAGTTGTTTTATTAGATTTAATCTACATGAAAGTTATCACAATACAAACCTTGTTCTACAACTGCTTTCAGCTTGTCAAAAACATATCTTTTGGTCATATCGAATGGAGATAAAAGACTCAGAAAAAGTGAGACCCTGCCTTCCCTGCTGACAGATATCTACAGCTTCCATATCTAGGGAAAGATGACCACTGCAGGGAATTAGGACTTTCCCTGTTGAGCCCTACATTATAGGAATAGTCGTACTTGAGTCCAAGGACCATGCTCAAGGTTGCTTTACAGCGTTGCTTATAATGGAGGAGGGGCCAAACTAAAATATATATACATTGTAAAAAATAATGAACCCAATGCCTTGACACTTTGCACTTTTAGCTTAGTCGCTGTGAGATCAACTGATGGTTGTTAGGTCATCTTTGAGAGATCCCTATCTTAGATGCTGAAGCAGATGCTCTCAAGGATCTCTGAGTTCCTCGGGTCCACTAGTCGAGCTAACCATCTAGCTCCAGGGGTTCCCTTTCTTGGCCTCTGTCTAGTGCAGGGGTTACAGGAGGGCCACCAGGTCCACTGGATGTTTATGTGTGCTCCAGTCCCAACCTTTGTGAAACAATCAATTCATGGACTGAGCCAACACCCCAGGGCTTATTATTCCTATTCTACAAGTAAAAGCTCAGGCGTGTGATCCCCAGGACACACGGGGGCGACTGGTAGCATTGGGGAGTGAAGGCAGGTGTAGCTGATTTGAGAGTCTACCGGAAGTCACTGTGTTCTAATATTCTCTTACAAAAGGGATTCGGAGACTGTTCTATTCTATGCAGAGGGAATTGCTGCCTACACGTGTTTGGAAGTCTTCAGAGTTTGGGACGAGGAAACATTTGATAAGGACTAAGCCATTAGCCTACCCAAGGCGGTCTCTGGCCTTCCACCAGTGAGGATCACACCTCTCCAAAATCAGATATTCCTCTGCCCTCTTCAGTGCCAAATCACAGGGCTCCCGAGGCAGGAAGTCGTAAAGAGCTTTGACCTGGATTCTCTCTTCCGGAAGCTCCTGCGGGAGGGGAGGCAGCGGCTTGCGCTTTGAGGGTTGCACCCTGCTTCTGTTGGACTGGAAAAACCAAGAGGTCTCTTAATGTTTCAGTCATTTGTACCAAAACCAAACAAACAAACACAAAACCCACAAAGAACAGCACATGCACCTCTGCCTCCACCTCACCCTTCTGCCCAGCTCCGATAAGGCAGAAGCCTAGACAAGTGCGGCAGACAGCTGACCGCAACACAGCACTGAGGGCCGGGAACACGCTTGTCATTTTGTGACTTTTTGAAATCACAAATTCTCTCCACAGCATAACCTTGTAGTTTCGCATGGTGCTTCTAAAAAGTTTCCTTACTCTGAAACAGTTTCACTTGATAGTGATTCTTCATCTTTGAGAAGAGAAACACTCCCACTCCCAGTCCCAACCCTACCCCTTCCCTTCCCTGAGCTGTACCCAAGCTGCCTTCTCTCTTCTAGCAGTCAGCTGGAAGTTAACCCTGAACTCAAGACCAACAAGAGCAGCAGTGTTTCCTTCCAATCACTGTCTTGTTTCAAACTCTTGTGTTTAAGTTTTGGAGTAGGCTAGATTAACTGGATTTTCCCCTCACTTTCTTCGAGAACATTTATTGAGCACTTACTGTGTACGAATCATAATTCTAATTTTGGGGCGGGATCACAAGCAGGACTTGTCTAGAGCACCTGCCTGTGTGGGGACTTCCTGTGAAAACGGCACTCACTTGATTTTTTCCCATCAGTTTGGAGAACCAAGGCCTCTGACGCTGGGAAGGTTTTTCTGAGAGTTCTTCGTCTCTACTCAGGCTTATCTGTGTTCTCACTTGTCTGCCATTGAAAAACAATCGCATCACAACTATTAATTACAAGCACATTTCTAAATCCTTCAGATTTTTTCAGAGATAAAACAATCTGGGTATCTTTTCTTAAAAAGAAAAAAAAATTGAAGTCTTCCTAGTTCTAACTCCTTCAACAGATTGTGAGCTGGAACTCTGAGGACTTTGTTTTCTGCAGAGGTCAGAAAGGCTAAGTGAATTCAGAGTTGCTTTGAAATAAAGTTGCAAGAATATGTCATATCCCCCAGAGTCTGGTACTTATGAGGTTCTTAAAATTATAGTCAACCCAACAACCACTTATTCTGAGTCAGAGTGCAAAGTGCTTCCCTGTTCATCCCTGTCACCAATTGTCATACATGCACAGGTGAGTGATTAAGAACACGGTGAACCCTGGCTCTACCATGTCATACTGGGGCCTCAGATGAAGAAAGCAACCTCTCTAAGTCTCGGGTGTTCTTGACTTTAAAGTCAAGAATTATAAAGAAAAACACCATGGGAGAGAATATATGCAAACCTCACAGCATAGAGTTATCAAACGGCCGCTGGCATGATGCCTTGATTTAATTCTTACACAGTCGCATACCAAAGGGTAAGAGTGACTCTTATATAATTAAGACAAGAGTCATGTGCTTAAGTGGGGTCGGGGGGGGGGGAATACTGACTGGAACACAGACATACTAAACAGACAAGTTTCAAGGGAAGAACCAAGCCGCAGCATTCAGTGGGAACACACAGAAGAATTAGACTGTATGCAGGAGGAGGGAATCAAGGATCCATCCGGGCACCCTCATGATTTGATTTATGTCTTTAAGACACTGGGAACGAAGTGGGAAAGAGCTTCCCAGACACAAAGCAACAGACGCAGACTTAAGAGCCAGGAAACTGCACTCACCCATTTCCAAGAAACTGCCCTGAAAGCAGACTCACCTCTTCTGCACTGAGCAGCAGCAGCAGCAGCAGAGGATAGACTGGAAGGTGCTATCTGAAACGGAGATCATTGTCACAGTTAGGAAGCCAGGAGTCGATGACACCGTGTGGACGACTCTGGCTGTGCTCCCAATAACAGCAGGGAACAATACATGGTCAGAGGCACAGGAACAGTCACGACCATCTCCAGGAGAAGAAGACAAAAGCTGTCACCAAAACAGCAAAAAGAAGGTTCTGGCACCCTGACCAGTGTGGTTTCCCTTCTCAGGCTCGTCTCTCTCTGGCCCGGTTTCTGCATTTCCTTTGTCTGTGAGTGGCCAGTACACTCTACTTGCTTTGTCGTGGCTAGTGCTGGCTATCAGTACAGCAGAACGGGCTCCCAGAAACAGTGTTCTCCAAGGAAATCTCTTAGCAGGAGTTTTAAATTAGGCCCATCACATTTTGTGTTTGTTTTGTTTGTTTGTTTTTAGAAAGTAAACTCTGCACTTCCTACAGATAACTGATAAAGTTAATCTTTAGCTGATTTTAAATTAGGTCACCAATCTCCCAGTCGTAGTTTTTTCCTAGTTCCCGATTAACAAGTCACCTCGTTTGCCGTTATCCATGAGCCCATGTCTGATAATGGCTCAGGAGAACCTCTCTCCCTAAGTAAGAAAACTAACGGGCCCCTGAAGTCTTGAAAGGCCTTTCTTTCAACACTAATTTCCAAGCTGCTTCTGGTTGAGCCTCTTACACTGTGGCTGTTTAGCTCCTGTATGAATAGGCTTGCAACGCAGACCTATCTGTAAACGAGGCCAGATCTTTTACATCTTTCCTCAGCTCACAGAGAACTAACTGTGAATCTACTGGTAGGAACCGAAGATTAATAGCTGAGTATGTCTCCTGATCGTGGAGTTTTCTTAATCTGCTGTGGGGGAGGAAGCGCCCATCATGCAACTTCCACATTATAATAGATAACACCTACAAACTCATTTTAGCAGTTCACTGAGCCAGAGAAACCATAGGCTCATAAGAGACAGTTTGAACCACGCAGGTATTGCGTTCATGATCAAGAATCTAGTCTTGGGGCTGGGTCTATAGCTCAGTAGGCAGGAGCACTGGTTGCTCTTCCAGAAGACAGGATTGGATTCTCACGTGATTCACAACCATCTGTAACTCCATCTCAGCACATCCGGCACCCCGGGTCTCTGTGGTCAACAGACAGAAACATGGTACATATACATGCAGACACAATGGCCAGATGCATCAATAAAATTAATTAAAATTTGAATGATAGAAATTAAAAAAAAATCTAGTCTGTGTTTCCTCAGCTGCTGCCAATGTTCTCAGGTTTTCTCAAGAAACCAAGGCAGTGTTGGACTGGGGCCCTCACTCTTTCCAGTGACAGGCACGGGCTGGTGGTCCACACTACGGCTGCGGTGTCCAAGCTCATCTTGCTGCTTCCTGCATGGTACTAAGTAACCACAGCAGAGGATAAACGCTTTGCCCTCAATAGATTCAACATCCAAGCCTTTGGGCCCGGTTTTGTTTATAAAGGCCCTCTGCAATGTCAATAGTGAGAGCATCGTCTACAGTGTTAGAGCTGGTAGACCTGCTCCAGCAGCTAGTGCTCCAGGAGCTGGTGTCCAGGGGCTAGTGCTCCAGCAGCTGGTGTCCAGGGGCTAGTGCTCCAGGAGCTGGTGTCCAGGGGCTAGTGCTCCA